CGAGACCTCGATGTCGTAACAATATATATATCTAAGCCTATACATGTATATACAAATATTCAAAATACCGTTTATTATATCTTTATATAATAGTTAGAACTTTTGATAAAAAGTAGGTTAATTATACAGGTCGATTAGTTATAAATTAACGAAGTCAATCTTGACTTGAATTACTTAATGCTATGAATCAGTATACATAACAAAACTAAAACCTATGACGATTAAAATGCCCCGAATCAGAAGTTAGGTACACTCACTATTAACAATACTTTCAGTCATCATCCTACTAATAGTTCATGAGGCTCGGCCACCTTAAAGTAGTTAAGTCAGTCCCGAAACCATATACAAAACTAACTTTGCTAGGTTATGATTAGATTTCATAACTTCTCTAAATTTTGATACGTTGTTACATAATTCATTTTAAGCATTGATCATAAAAACCTCTATAAAGTTAATTTTGAAAATGTGCCATTTCAATAATCCCTCACCATCACCAAGGAAAAAAGAACGATTGAAAATTAAATTTCTATAGTTGTACTTTAGGGAATTAAATGGTATTTGAAATATCTTCATTTTCATAGTAACCTTTTAAGTCACCGAGCATGTAGTGGCTGGATAGTTGAAAAGTGCCCTTAATTTATTTGTTTGTTTTTTGTATCTTCAATAGAAGCACATAGAATCACGAAGGGTGCTGGTGTCTTTTTTTGGGATAACGCGATTACATCAGCAATCAGGTCTAATTAGACAAAATAAACAGTGGACTTACTATAAGCATCTTTACCCCATCCAGTAACAACACAATGAAGACCTTCGAATGTTTCTTCGGAATAGGGCAGACAAACAGAATTAATGTGTGGACCGAACGAAACCTCCTTATCTAGTTTCAAAATAGCTATATCATCCTTGAGGTTCTTCCTTTCATGGTCGTATTTGGGATGTATGTATATGTTCGATATTCTGTAGTCTTGGTGGATTATAGGTTCCTGATCATTCTGGGTATCCCATTCCCCCAGTCGAACTTTCAAGGGGTATTCGTTACTAGATCTGTGGAGAGAATGTTTCGTTATTAGAGCTTTAGATCAATGGAGAGAATGTTTCCTTATTAGATCTGCGAGAGAACGTTTCCTTACTAGATCTGTAGAGAGAATGTTTCGTTATTAGATCTGTCAGAGACCGTTTCGTTATTAGAGCTGTGGAGAGAATGTTTCATTATTAAATCTGTGAAGAGAACGTTTCGTTATTAGATCTGCGAGAGAACGTTTCCTTACTAGATCTGTAGAGAGAACGTTTCGTTATTAGATCTGTCAGAGACCGTTTCGTTATTAGAGCTGTGAATAGAATGTTTCATTATTAAATCTGTGGTGAGAACGTTTCGTTATTAGATCTGTGGAGAGAACGTTTCGTTATTAGAGCTGTGGAGAGAACGTTTCGTTATTAGAGTTGTGGAGAGGATGTTTCGTTATTAGATTTGACAGAGAACGTTTCGTTATTAGATCTGTGGAGAGAAGGTTTCGTTATTAGAGCTGTGGAGAGAACGTTTCGTTATTAGAGTTGTGGAGAGGATGTTTCGTTATTAGATTTGACAGAGAACGTTTCGTTATTAGAGTTGTGGAGAGAAGGTTTCGTTATTAGATCTGTGGAAATATTGTTTCGTTATTAAATCCGTACGTTGAAATGCATATTTATATGAGGATAAAGGGAGATAAAAGAGAAAAATTCGATTATTACAATGTGTGGTAAGAGCAAGTACAGTATTAACTACATACCGGTAAACATGGTAGAATAAAATAATCAACGAACTTCAACCTACTGTGTAATCCAACAAAAAACTTCATCGAAAAAAGTATCACTTCGAAGTTTCGGAAATCAACAAAATTAAACTTAATTCACAAGAACAATTAAAATATGCAACAATGTTAATATACTTCACGAGATCAAAGAAAATCTGTAACAATATTAATATACTTCACGAGATCAAAGAAAATCTGTAACAATATTAACTCTACTTCACAAGATCAAAATTAAACTTACTTCACAAGATCAATTAAAATATGCAACAATATTAATATACTTCACGAGATCAAAGAAAATCTGTAACAATATTAACTCTACTTCACAAGAATAAGGAAAATCTGTAACAATATTAACTCTACTTCACAAGATCAAAATTAAACTTACTTCACAAGATCAATTAAAATATGCCAAAACTATTAATATACTTCACGAGAACAAAGAAAGTCTGTAACAATATTAATTCTACCTTGGTAGGACAGTTCAGGAGAATTAGCCTCAGTAGGATTAGTTACGAAAATTCTACCTTGGTAGTATTACATCAGAAGAATTAGCCTCAGTAGGATTAGCTAAGAAAATTCTACCTTGATAGCATTAGATCAGAAGAATCAGCTTTAGTAGGATTAGCTAAGAAAATTCTACCTTGATATCATTAGATCAGAAGAATTAGCCTCAGTAGGATTAGCTAAGAAAATTCTACCTTGATAGCATTAGATCAGAAGAATTAGCCTCAGTAGGATTAGCTAAGAAAATTCTACCTTGATATCATTAGATCAGAAGAATTAGCCTCAGTAGGATTAGCTAAGAAAATTCTACCTTGGTAGTATTACATCAGAAGAATTAGCCTCAGTAGGATTAGCTAAGAAAATTCTACCTTGGTAGTATTACATCAGAAGAATTAGCCTCAGTAGGATTAGCTAAGAAAATTCTACCTTGATAGCATTATTTCAAAAGAGTAGCCTTGTTAGGATTAGATAAAAAAAAAAAATTGGTAAGATTAGTTGAGAAGAGTCAGCCTTGGTAGGACTAGTTTAAAAAAATCTGCTTTGATATTATTAGCTCAGAATAATCAGTTTTGGCAGGACTAGTTTAGAATTCTGTCTTGGTAGGATTAATCCAGAATAGTCTGCCATCCTAGGACTAGTTCAAAATCACTTGATGAAAAAGATTGAATTAGTACCAAAACATCTTTATGGAATAATCCCGCGATAATTCACTTTGTGTGTTCGTGAATTTGTTTCTTTGTCCACGAACTCCTACTAATATATTGACTATTTTTATAAATATACTTTTTTTCTCAAATAAAGAAAACTTACGTGTACTGGTAAACACAATGGGCGATGGTAAGCACGTGGAGTTTGTCTATTAAAGTACCTCCACACTGAAAAATGTTTACATTTCCGTCCAATTTCAGAACCACTGCCTGAGAAAAGAGAACATGAAATAATAATTGTGTAATTACCCTTCGTGATAATATCTTACTTAAAAATAATTATTGAGTAATTATCCTTCGTGATAATATCTTATTTAAAAAATGATTATTGAGTAATTATCCTTCGTGATAATATCTTATTTAAAAATAATTATTGTGCAATTACCCTTCGTGATAATTTCTTATTTAAAAATAATTATTGAGTAATTATCCTTCGTGATAATATCTTATTTAGAAATAATTATTGTGTAATTACCCTTTGTGATAATATCTTACTTAAAAATAATTATTGTGTAATTATCCTTCGTGATAATATCTTATTTAGAAATAATTATTGTGTAATTACCCTTCGTGATAATGTCTTATTTAAAGATAATTATTGAGTAATTATCCTTCGTGATAATATCTTATTTAAAAATAATTATTGTGTACTTATCCTTCATGATAATATCTTATTTAAAAATAATTATTCTGCAATTATCCTTCGTGATAAAATCTTATTTTAAAATAATAATTGTGTAATTATCCTTATTTACTTTATATTATTTTTGTTAAAATTCTGTTATCAGGACTTTAAAGTGGGAAAAACCCACGTTGAAGTGACGCCAAATCTTTAGACTACAGAAATCAGCAGAAGGTTTTTGTGTTGAATTTCGCGCTAAGCTACTCAGGACTATATTTGCGATAGCCGTCCTTAAGTTAGCAGCGATATACTGAAGGGACACAGCTAGCTAGTCAACACTACCCACCGCTAACTTGTGGGCTACTCTTTCACCAAGGAATAATGGAATTGACTATAACATTATAACGTCCCCACAGCTGACGGGGATTCGCACCAAAAGATTTTTAGATTTCTGGTTATGTGTATGTGAATGTACTTTGTCTTGTGGTTATTTTCACCAAAAGACAGGACGTCTAAGGTTCTTTTAGACATTTAAAAGTGTTTGTAATTTACATCCCGAAACTTGTGTTTTATTGAACTTAACATTAAAAACACCTATTTTACGAAATCGAGAAAATATATATATATTTCCCAAATACACACAACTGGAATTAGTGTTACATTAACCCTTAAATCACTGGTTTGTTTTTATACCGTTCAGTACTGATTGAATCCATATGTATATATTGCATTGTATTGGGTAAGTTTATGTTTTTGCCTGTTAAACACTCATTGGGTGAAATCATTCATTTTCTATGTATCAATAAATAGTGGAACTTAGCTGTAATAAGTGTGATTGATTTAAATATTTATGATATTATAGTATGTTTTTGGTTGTGTGATTCTTACGTTATTAGGAGCCTGTAGTCAGGACACGTAATTAATTTAGTGCATAAATAGTTTAAATGTAATGTGTTTTAAAAGCCGACGGAGCCCGAACGACATCATTTTTTTTCTTGAATCAAGTTTTTGAAAAACGAACAAATAAACAAACGAAAACCTTTTACACGAACTCAGTTGATCTGGCCCAGCATGGCCAGGTGGTTAAGGCGCTCGACTCGCAATCTGAGGGTCGCGGGTTCGAATCCCAGTCACACCGAACATGCTCGCCCTTTCAGCCATGGGGGCGTTATAATGTTACGGTCAATCCCACATTCGTTGGTAAAAGAGTAGTCCAAGAGTTGGCGGTGGTTGGTGATGATTAGCTGCCGTCCCTCTAGTCTTACACTGCTAAATTAGGGATTGCTAGTGCAGATAGCCCTCGTGTAGCTTTGCGCGAAATTCAAAAACAAACTCAGTTGATCTTACCTGCCAAGGCCATTCACCAAAATCAGCTAGACCAAGTTTTCTGGAGGAGGGAAGAATGCGTTGGTTGATGTTACTGGAGGTCTTGGTGCCACACTGTTGCTTAGAAGGTTGGTTGTTGGTTTTTCTTTCAGAAGTCGAACAGCAAAGATGTAAAGACGGACCGCACTTGTATGAATTTACTGGATTGTGTTGAGATTCCTGAAATATTGCCAAATTATTAGATGATTAGCACAAAGTGTGGGGCGCCCCCCCCCAGGGTAGCAAGAAACCATATTTATTAAAATGTGTGGGTGAGGTGGGGATGACAAAAGTTTGGTAAACACTGGCCAATTGTTTTAAAGATAAAATAAAGAGACCAAATGTATTAACAAAGTGAAATATTAACCCTAATATATCGGCTAATTTGATAATCTCTTTACTTACTACATGGACTGCTGTCGGGGGTATATTGACACTCTGTTCACACTGACCATGAGGGACGCAGCGACACGCATCGGGGACGGGATTAGGGTTATATTCCTCCGGTTGGCTGTAACTTGGCCCATGGAACAATCCAAAATCAAGGTTTCTCCAGTCCAGTCCATGATTTTCTTGAGGATAAGACAAGGCCGTTTCCAGAAGCAAAGCCAGAAATACTTGTACGTTCATTTTGTACTATAAAAAGATTGAGAATCCTTAATAACAGATTACAAAAATATATATACATATTATCACATTTAATTACATTTCCAACTTTTACCTGACAACATCATCATTTGGCTAGATGATTAATGAATGATTTTATTCTGATATATAACTTTTGTATGAAACGTAAGACATAAGATATAATTATTACCCAAATCATATATAGTTTCCTCACCTAATTCTGCAATGCAACTACCAAGCGTCAGCCGTTGCTATAGTGATCAGGACTACACCAATATAGCCTACTGCTAAGGTTAGAAGAAGACGAGACGGTAGGTTTACTTTCGTATGCTGTTAGAAAATCTAGCGTGCGAACGACCACGAAAGTGTAAGGGAAGCATATTTTTATACATCTTATTTTTTACGAAATGTGAGATAACAAAGATTGCTTTTTTTTTCTTCTTGTAAAATGACAGTTGTTGGATTTATCCTAGATTATACGTGCAGGAAGTAAACATATATATATAAAAGATATGGCGAACTTACAGTATAACAGGTGGAAATTCCATCGGCTCGTTTCTACATAATCGTGAATCACGTGACATGAGCTGGACGTCCTTCTTCGACGATCAGCACACAGCAAGTTGAAAGCAGTTTTTCCGGTTTTCAAATTTAGCAGTTAGAAAGAGTAGTTTGGAAAATCCTTTATTTCGTACGGTTGGGTATTCTGCGCTACGAAATATTTGCAATGGATTAAAAACTTCTGATAAAAACTCCGGATTCCGAATCGGTGGTAAATACGCTGATATAATAATTACTGTTATTATTCAAGGCTAAACAAAGTAAAATAAAGAAACTTTTATTATGTTTTGTTCCAAATCGTAAATAATTTCTTTATAAAAAAAATAAAGGGGGGCCGTTTTATACTAGTCTTTTTTTTTAATATAGTTAAATGAGAACTTCCCTTTCCGTTCTTTTGTATTCATAACAAAAAATATTTGTTTTTCACCCGTTTTTTCAGCCATGTTACCGTCTCTACATTACAGCTTCGCTTTTGTTTCTCACGGTTTACTAACTTACAGTGCTAAAATTCGGCGTTCGATTCCCCGTGGTGGATGAAAATACAAACCCCGACAAACAAACATTCTCATGAACGTCGCTGTATTTATATTAAATACTCGTTTTTCCTCTGTTTTTCAATCAAGTTACTGTCTACATTTCAGCTTCATTTTTCTGTGACATTTCTGTATCCACATCCCATATTTGTTTTCACCTTTATTTTTTATTATGTCATTATTTCAATATCAGGGTTGCATTTTTTGACTCTTTTTTCTTCTGTATATTTATTACATTTTTACTAAAGTCCGTTACACGGAATACATAAGTGACTCATATTCTTAAAACTAACTTTTTAAGCATTTATCGTATGTTATTTACAATGTATTGTTTTACTAATAAATAAAGCGCCCGGCATAGCCAGGTGGTTAGGCACTTGCCTCGCAATCTGAGGGTCATGGGTTCTAATCCACGTCCCACCAAACATGCTCGCCCTTTCCGCCGTGAGGGCGTTATAATGGCACAGTCAATCCCACTATTCGTTGGTAAAAGAGTATCCCAAGAGTTGGAAGTGGGTGGTGTTGACTAGCTGCCTTCCCTCTAGTCTTTCACTGCTAAATTAGGGACGGCTAGCGCGGATAGCCCTCGTGAAGCTTTGCGCGAAACTAAACAATAAATAAAGCTCCCTCTTTTGTTAGCAAACGAAAGTAATATATAAGTAACAATTGATAATATAATATAAATAGTTTTAAAGCCTCTAGTAATTGTATCGTACAAGTTTAGTAAAATTTACAAAATTATGTTTGCGCTTTAGCAAACGGCGTTTCTAATTAAAACTCTGTCTTTTACGTCGATGAAAGTTTTGAAGCATTCCAATTATAAAGCAAGTTAACTTTGAAAAATTAAATGTTCGGGTTTATGTTTCTAATGTAAATTTATCGCACGCTCTCTAAGGCTTGAATATGAGTGTTAAATTAACCACAAGTTTTCTTTTCTGTTGTTGATTGAATCGTTGGGTTTGTCAGTTTGTTTGACGGTTCCTAGATTCTTCATGCGAGTTTGATTGAAAAAACAACAACAATAAGTAAATGATATATTTTCTTCCTAACTTGCTTTAGTTGACAAGGGGCTGGAAATGGCCTTAGTTGTTAGCATACCAGGCATCGGATCATAGGTTCGAGCCGTGATGTCACTGAACACGTCTGAAGTTTCAGCTGTGGGCACACTGTAAACTTTCGTTTTTGTTGTTCGGATATTTATGCAAAGTTATTCAAAGGTTATCCGCTAGTCGTTCCTAATTTGTAATTAATAGATTAGAGAGAAGGTGGTTAATCAACAGTACCTTCCGCCAACTCTTATGGTACTCTTATTTTACTAGATACTGGAATTTGACTGTTACTTTTGTAACGTACCTATGTCCCCAAAGTGCAAAACGTGGTTTATTTATTTGTAGCGACGAGATGACAACAATGGACATCGCAGATTCATAGTTTGGCACGTTAACTAGTGGGCCACGCTTGACCTCTTTGTAAACGTAACAGTCAATCCTATGTTGGCGGGTGCTGTTGATTTGCTCTTCGCCCTCTGGTCAGCAGTTCAAGATTAGGAAAGGTGACACCTGAATCCTAAATACTTCTAACTTGACCTATTAATTCACGTGTCGTAGTGTAAGCTGAAGTTCAGGTTGAAAATTATACACGGATATATTTTTTTTAGCAAAATGGTAGGAGTTGCGAGTTTTCACATATTCTTTAGCATCACAAGTTATTAAAGAATTATAATAGCAAGAAGCTGCAACCCATTGTATTGTATATATATATATGTGTGTGTGTGTGTTTAGTGTTAGTAACTTTGGATAGCAGTATGTTAATATTATCAGTTTTATAACTGTATAAAATATTTTTAGTGACAAAATATTTTGCATTAGGTTTAATGTTGTTTGCTGGTGCTGCCATCTAACGACCAAATATATTCTTATTTTAGGAGCTAAAATATATCTTTTATATTACGATTGAATACTAAGATTCTTCTTTTTAAAAAAAAAACAATACGTTTTTACTTTCCCAAATTTACAAAATTTGAAATATGAAATATTTAGGCTTTTCTAGAATTTTGAAAGTGAAACTGTATAACAGAAGTTTCTACAGTGCTGGCAGTAAGGGGGCCGGAACTACCCCAAAATGCACCTTGGCCTCCAGTGTAGCCACCGCACCCAACGAATAACCATTACTGTTAAAGCTGGTTCACTTTCTATATAGAGTATGTGTACCCACAAAATGTAGAGTACAGTTCCCCTCCATTTTTCGTCGAGCCCCCTTCACCGGGAAAATACTGGTGACACCCTTAAAAGTCTCCTCGTTTGTTTTCGTAATTAAAAAAAAATAATAATCAAATTGTCATGGAACATCGTCCGCAAAAGCAGGCCATATTTTAAAATGTACCTTGAAACGGGGAAATAGCCATCAGGATTTAGAAATAATAGAATTCCCAGCTCAATTCGCTAACCACTATCTGATGTAACGTCCAGATATACGTAGAAAATAACGTGTTTTTGCTGGAATTTGCCCGAAATCCGGAATGAGGTAAATATCTGAATAGATCACGATTTTCCCAATTTTTATTACCTGTATTTGTATTTTAAATTTTTTGACAAAACTACAAAGGCTATCTGCGGTCGCCCCTAATTTTGAATTAGTGACCAGGTGGAAGGCAGCCAATCAGCAACATCCTACCATCCACACTAAAAGATTGATTGTCACTCTTATAACACACCCACAACTTAAAGTACAAGGAATATTCTGCGATATCAGACTCGCCAGCTCCGAAATCTAGAGTTCTACCCAAGGGTCAATCTGCACCATTTTTTACCAACCCACTCTGCTTCCACGAGGCTCAGCGGCTAGTCTGAAACCCACATTTTGACACCCGTAGTTGGCGCAGCACAGACTGCTTTTTTGTGTTGCTTTGTGTTTAACAAACAAACCCATTAAAATATACCCGAAGCGGTGGCTCCAGTATCCAGAAACTATTTCATATATATATATATATATATACACCGTTTCTTTTCATTGACTAATGAAATAAATCAAAATTAAATAAAAGGTTGAACAATCGCCATATTTTTTTATGTTTTTATTTAAAGAAGGATGACGTTTCGATCTAGCGCTCTTCGTCAGATCGTACAGATTACGACATTTAGTACAGGTACGGGTAAATTTCTTAGAAAACATTGGGCTAGAAAACATTAATTCCGATACCAAAAAGGCTTCTATCCGAAAGAGAATACCAACTTTGTATCGAAAGCTCTGAAATATTACACCAACACTATTCTTAAATCCAATTAGAAACATTATTCGTCCACACACTTAATAGTCGATACCGTTCCTTAGGCCTACTAAATAACACGAGGCTTATTTGTGACAGTTTTCCTCTGGTTATAATTCGATAGACACACTAGACTGTTTGTTTGTTTGTTTTGAATTTCGCGCAAATCTACACGAGGGCTATCTGCGCTAGCCGTCCCTAATTTAGCAGTGTAAGACTAGAGGGAAGGCAACTAGTCATCACCACCCACCGCCAACTCTTGGGCTACTATTTTACCAACGAATAGTGGGATTGACCGTCACATTATAACACCCCCACGGCTGAAAGGGCGAGCATGTTTGGTGGGACGAGGATTCGAACCCGCGACCCTCAGATTGCGACTCGAGCGCCTTATCCACCTGGCCATGCCGGGGCCCCACAAATGTTCCGTGCTTTTCGAATTTAATCGATTTTCAGCAAGGACGCGTCAAAATAAAACTTTTGCTTTTATTAACCTCCCCTTCCCCCCGTTCAATATAACAACATCGAGTAACATACGCCTCGACCATTAATTTTCGTTTTAAAAACATAGACACGTCCACCACCACCACTACGAATAATCTATTCCGGCTTGTCACTGATTTATGTAATGGTTTTATATATGCCTTACTGAAATGTAACATTTAGATAATTTTACATTTTATATCAAAGTCTGTGGGATAATCTCCAGTTTGGACCAAAAAGCTTTGTGTTTAGTCGTAAGTTTTGAAGACACGCAATGCCGTGATTTAGACACGTCTCTCGCCGCCAGCAAGTTGGAGTGATCACGTGACACTCATCAGTCGTTTTTAATACAAAGGTTTGATTTCTCGCCTTACAATCGTGACAGAAATAAACCGAAAAATTGGCCAAATAAACAAAATCGCGAATAGTAGAATAAACTAGTGTTTTACGACTCATAAAATAAAGAAAATATTTACAAGATGTAATAAGTTAAGCAACAAAGATTTTACCGAAAGAAAAAAAAAGACCTACGTTCTGAATAGTGGGAAAACAATCAACAGTTAATAATATTAATGTACAACAACGATACAATGATGTCTATAGACGCGTAGATACGTGTGCGTGTTAAAGGCGCGTGCACGTGTTTATCACATCTTAATAAAAAAAAAAAAATTGATTTGTCAGCCAACTGACGTGTTTCTGATTTCTACTAACCGACTGGCGGAGCGTGTCGAAGTTAACTCTGTAAGATTGTTGGAAGAAATGCGAGAGACAATGTGTATGAAGCTGAGAAACTTGAACAAAACTAACTTCGGTATTTACTTTGTAATGACAAAACTTGGAACGCGCAATTAAAGTTGAACATTGTATTGTTTTCGGTTTGTTTTGAATTTCGCGCAAAGCTAC